AAAGCCAAGGAAACTCCCAATTGGTTTGAAAGAAAATAAAGCTGCTAGAATGGCCCAGCCAATCACCTGACTTGAATCCAATAGAAAATCTATAGAAAGAATTAAAGATCAGAGTTGATAGAAGAGGCTCATGAGACCTTCAAGATTTGAAGACCGTGTGGAAGAACGGGACAAAATCAAACCTGAGCAATGCATGCAACCAGTTTCTCCATACAGGAGGCGTCTTGAAGCTGTCATTACCAACAAAGGGTTTTGTACGAAGTATTCAGTTGGGTGTTCAATATTTTTTTCCCGTGCCATTCCATTTTTATTACACATAACCAAATTTCTGAACTTATTTGTTTTAGTTACTTTGTATGTATGGATTGCATGGGTTGTTACCAACGTGTGTTGAAAATTTCATGTCAATAGGAACCTTTGGAAACATTACCAAGAAAAATGGTGAAGTGTTCAATACTTATTTTACCCGCTGTATATATTGGCAGCAGACTCTTCATCAACATTTCACAGCAAATCAAATGCTTATATCTATTATGTTAAATTGACAATTGTTGGAAATGGTTATTTTGTTCCCTTTTTTGTACTGATTTTGTGTTCTGCCCATCGTTAAACGTTTCTGGGATCCAAGCTTTTAATGGATATCACTGTAGCAACAAAACATGTTAAATAATTGTAAAGTTCACCTTTGGGAACATGTTACATGTTCCACCCGTTTTTAGGGTGGAACATGTAACAAGTTCCCAATATTGCAGTAGCTGGCAGATTGAATGGAGCGCTGTGGTAGTTCATTGATTCTTCCTGTCGTTATATCTGCTTTGCCTGTACATCCCGTATGAGCAAGCAGATACACTGACAGGTCTGCAGGAGACCTACATGACACCAGTGATCTGCTGATAATGGCAGTGATTTCTAGCAATATCCTGTAACGTACGTCATTTCTCTGATTATTTTCTGAAGTATGTCTTCAGTCTTCAGCTATACTTGTATCAAGTCCACAGTTGCCACAGGTCTAGCTTGTAATGACTGATCTCTAGCAGTCGCTTGTAACATTTCCCTCTTTTTTGACTGTCTTCAGAGGCAGGTCTGCAGTCTTCAACTGCGCCTGTAGTATGCTATGTTTTAAGTCTGTCTATCTTTTATAGCATGTCCACAGTCTAAGAGTAGGTTCGCACCTATGCAGTTTGCATTTGATCCATTTATGCAGTATATTTTGCTTTGCGTTTTTGCACATGGGTTTGTGCCACATTTTTGATTTTTTGTTTTTTCCTTGTTGCTAGGCAGATTTAAAACGCAACAAAAACACATCAAAAACGCTGCAAAAAACACACTACATGCTTTTCTGCAGCGTTTCCATTAAAGTCTATAGAACCAAAAACGCAACTTTTTGCGTTCAAAAAAGTCCCTTACCCTTTCCAAAAACCACACCAAATGAAAACGCGGAGATGTGAGTCTGTCCCATAGGAAACCATGTTAAATGGACTGTAGTGCGTTTCTGCAAAACGCTGTGTGAACCTGGGGTAAAAGTCATCTCTAGTGTAACATATACTGAATAATTTGAATTATTAAAATATCATCAGCAGCAACATTTTAGTAGGTTGGCCAGCATTGCAAAATATGCTGTTAATTATTTTTCATTGTATTGACAAATGTTATCTAACTATTGTGTGTTATTGTAATAATTTGGTTTTGCTTCAGCGTCTATCTCAGAAGATGAGCAGGGGATCATTCCACGTGCTATGGCTGAAATTTTTAAACTGGTTGATGAAAATGATCTGATCGATTACACTATCCGAGTCTCCTATCTAGAAGTCTATAAGGAAGAATTCAGGGATCTCCTGGAGGTGCAGACCTCTAGTAAAGACATCCTGATCAGAGAAGATGACAAAGGAAATGTTGGTAAGTCATAGCAATAGAATTCACCTTGTTTGATGCAGCACAGTTCAGTATGAAGTGTAAGTAGAACATGCCTTGGGCTTCAGATACGTGCTGTAAATGTTTTGGGTGTGTTTATATGTTTATGACAGGGGTCTCCAAACGTTCTAAACAGGGGACCAGTTTATTGGGCACAATTCACTAAAGCATGAGTTAAGTCAGTCACATGACCACATATCACATGTGATACTGAAAATGTTAATTCACTATTGCTAGTATGCGGTATTTACCGAAAATAGCAAAAACACTTGGTAAATACCGCATAAAAAGACCTTAAAGTTAATTCACAAAAGGAAATAATTAAATGCATTAATTAAGTAGTGGTCCAGGCATGCGGTATGTACTGGTATCTGTCAGTACTGTCATGGGTTGTTAAGGAATGGGTGGCCGCTGAGTGCTTAACAATGGATGAGTCGTGAGCGGGGTTCCCCACTGACAGCTTAATCTTAAAAAAAAAAAAAAAAAAATGCTGGCAATTAAATAATTAAAAAAACGGTGTGGGGTTTGCCCTCCATCCATACCAAACCCTTTGGGTCTGGTTAGGATTTTGAGGGGAGCCCCCATTCCAAATTTGTTAAAAAATGGTGTGGGGGTCCCCCTCCAAAATCCATACAAGAGCCTTATCCGAGCATGCAGCCCGGTAGGTCAGGAAAAGGGGGGATGAGCGAGACCCCCCCCCCTTCTCCCCTCCTAAAATATACCAAGCCAAAGGCCCTCAATATGGGGAGGGGTTCTTTGGGGCGGGAGGAGGAAGCCCCAAAGCACCTTGTCCCCATGTTGATGAGGACAAGGGCTTCTTCCCCACAACCCTGGGCTGTGGTTGTGGGGGTCTGGAAGCCCCCTTTAGCAAGGGGGCCCCCAGATCCTGCCCCCCCCATGTGAATGAGTATGGGGTACATGGTACCGCTACCCATTCAAAAGAAAAACTGTAGTGTAAAAAAGACAGGACAAAGTCTTTGAAAAATCCTTTAATAAAATTAAGAAAAATAAAACCATGTCCCCTGAAGTAGATTCATGTCAATCACTATGCCCGCCGCCACCCGAAAAAAAAACGTATGTGATCCCGCCCCATGTGACATCACTAACCCAGCATGTCCCAGTCGATGTCACACACGTGATGTCACCGGGTGGCCCCACCCCTTATATATTTAAGAACTGTCAAGCCAGCGGAGCAGTCAGACGTCCGGAGCCAGCGTCTGGAGCGCAGAGCCTTTTGGGGTTTTTTTCTCTCTTTTTTTTTTTTGGCGGCAGGCATCGTGATTGGCGTTGGATCTACTTCGGGGGACATTCTTTTATTTTCCTTCTTTTAATAAGGTACTTGTCAAAGACTGTCTCCTGTCTTTTTTCACAGTACAGGTACCCCATACTCATTCATGTGGGGGGGCCGGGGATCTGGCGGCCCCCTTGCTAAAGGGGCTTCCAGATTCCAATAAGCCCCCAACCCACAGACCCCACAACCACCGGCCAAGTTGAGGGCATGTGGCCTGGTATGTTTCAGGAGGGGGCGCTCACTTGTCAGTGGGAGTAATTGTACCCCGTCGATGGTGTCAGTGGGAGTAATTGTACCCCGTCGATGGTGTCAGTGGGAGTAATTGTACCCCGTCGATGGTGTCAGTGGGAGTAATTGTACCCCGTCGATGGTGTCAGTGGGAGTAATTGTACCCCGTCGATGGTGTCAGTGGGAGTAATTGTACCCCGTCGATAGTGGGAGTAATTATGCCCCATCGTTGGTGTCATTGTGAGGAATTGTGCCCCTTCGTTGGTGTCATTGTGAGGAATTGTGCCCCTTCGTTGGTGTCATTGTGAGGAATTGTGCCCCTTCACTGGTCTCAGTGGGGGGGTTTATGCCCTATTGTTGGTATTATTGGATGAATAGTGCCCCAAGTGCCGGATAAAAGCAAGCAAAGGGCTGTATCTGGCCCTTGGACCACTGCTTTATAAGAATGGAAATTGTTTACAGACATCACCTTTTTATTGAAAGCCAACTTCACCTTTCAAAAAAATAATAATAAATGGACATATTTTTGCAGGTCAAAAATGTGCATTTACTTTTTTCTTATTTTTGGAGCCTAGAGCCGGAAGAGCGTATCAACATATTGTGGGTGCAATGCCAGGCTCCTGCATAGCCTTCCTTTATCTGTGCCCATATCTCCATATGAGCTTAAATTTACAAAGCTAGAGGAAGGATGAATGAACTATGAACGTGCTTGCAGCCTCTTCAAACTACAAGTTTGTCTGCCATGGTGACAGACAATACTTTTTTCATACTCCGGAATCTGTGAATGAATGATGCAGTTGTTTGGGCAAGGCACAGCCACACTGGTTTCAAAAAGTGAGACTGGGTGTGGGGAGAGGATCACCCGCCCGCTGTTAGAGAGGGGAGCGTTGGCTGAGGTACGAGGGGTCTTAGGAGCATGTTTACATGTTACACCCTGAACATGGATGTAACATTTAACATGCACCTAAAAGTGAACTTACCCTTTAAATTGTTACTACTGCTATGTAGACCTGTTCATGGCAAATCCAAGTAGTCAGGTGACCAGTACATCTGAAATGTAAGCTGGCTATACACTGCTGAAATTCACTTAGTGGGTAGCTTTGTCAGCTCTCTCCTGCCTGACATGCTTTGATTCAAAAAATTGAAGGATCTGGAGAAAAAAATGTTGCTGCATCCAATCAAGTGCAGATACTATTTGGGGTATTCTGACAGCTGTAGCAATTTTTTTTTTAATTCAGCAAAAAATTTTTTTAATTATTATTAACCCCTTCCCGACCACCCTATAGCAGAAATACTGCTACAGGGTGGCACGGGTGCACAAAATCAAGTATATATACGTGATTTCGCATTTCTGGGTTGAGGGCGCACCTGCGCCCGCCCTACTTGCACCGCCATTTGCGGCCATGGCTTTCAATCCCCGGGTCCCGGGCGATGATTACTCGCCGGCGCCTGGTAATTGCCGAGCATCTCTGACTGGAGATGTAAACAAAACCGTTCTCCCTATCCGCTCGTGCACACTGCTTTAGTTGGCTGTGCACAGCACAGCCATCCAAAGCAGTGTGCTTACAGTGAAGCACACAGACACAAGTAAAACAGCACACAGTTGACCCTTTGATCGCCCCTCATGTTAACCCCTTCCTGCCCAGTGCCATTAGAACAGTGTCAGTGCTTCTTTTTTTTTTTTTTTGTAGCACTGATCACTGTTTTGGTGTCACTGGGGATGTCAGTGACACCAAGTCAGTTCCACCCCCCCCCCCCCCCCCCCCCCCAGTGTCAGAATGCCTGCTGCAGTCCTGCTATAAGTCGCTGATTGCTGCCATTACTAGTAAAAATGTAAAATAAAATCCCAGTATATATAACGCCATTTGTAGATGCTATAACTTTAATGTAAACCAATTAATTTACATGTATTGGGATTGTTTTTAGCAAAGACACGGAGCAGAGTGCATATTAGCCTAAATTTATGACGAAGTTTGATTTTTAAAAATTTTTTTTTACTGGACATGTTTAATAGCAAAAAGTCAAAAATATTGTCTTTTTTTTTCAAAATTGTTAGCCTTCTTATTGCTTATAGCGCAAACAAATAACGCAGAGACGGTCAAATACCATGGAAAGAAAGCTCTATTTGTGGGGAAAAAAGACATTTGGTAAATTTCATTTGGGTGCAGCGCTGTATGACCGCGCAATTGTCGGTTAAAGTAACTGCGCCGTATCGCAAAAAATGGCCTGGTCAGGAAGGGGGGTGAATCCTCTGGGGGGCAAGTGGCACATGACAGGATTAGCTCTGACAGATGGTGGGTGTCTGCCTAGTATCCAGACTCCTGTCCTTTTTATATATCCACAGGATCAGTGGGTCAGACCCGGAATTTTTTCAAAATTGTCGGTCTTTTTTTTTTCCTTTATATAGCGCAAACAAAAAACCGCACAGACAATCTAATACCACCATGAGAATGCTCAATTAGTCGAGAAAAAATACGTAAATTTCATTTGGGTGCAGCGTTGCATGACTGCGCAATTCTCAGTTAAAGTAATGCAGTGCCGTAATGCAAAAAAAATGGCTGGGTCAGGAAGGGGGGGAAATCCTCAGGAGGGCAAGGGGTTAATAATAATATTTTTGGAGATGACCGTACTTAGTCATGTGGGTCATTAAAGCTTAACACCAACCAAAAATTCAGATGAATGGGAAAGGGTCAGAGCTTCTGTAATGTTTACATTGCTTTCTGTCACTCAGCTGGAGCGCTTTCCTCCTCCCTTTTGTATATTTCTCAGGTTAAGGAATTGGGTAAATGGGGGAAGAAGAGGTTTTAACCCTTCCCATGCAACTTAAAAAAGTACCGTCATCCCTAAAAGGGGCTTTTTGTCTTGGCGGGTTTTGCCCATTATTAAAAAAAAAAAAGGCAGTCTGTGGTGGAGACAATTGCTAGAATATTTCAAGTGAACCTATCCCGCACCCCTCTGGTTTGTTTACTTGGGTTCTTAGACAAAGAATGGTATCCACCGGAAATCAGGGTTCCAATATCTAGACTTCTGTTTCTTGCTTGCAAACTACTAGAACTTAAAGTGGGTGTAAACCTCAGACATGAAATATGCAGAAAACATATCCCTCTATAGTGTGTACTTGTCTCAAGAGCACAAAGTGTCATTTCTGTCTGCTGCCTTCTTCCTCTGCTATCAGCATGAATCACTTCTGACAAGTTTTTCCTGACGCCAAAAGAAAAATGGTGACAGGGGAGGGACCTCCAGCAGATTGACAGCCTCAGTTCTGTTCCTGTGAGCTGTGTGGAGGGGGTGTGTCTCTTCCCTCCAATCATTTCTCAGAACTCTCTATTGAGCTGTACAGTGTGTAACTTCAGCTGTCCGCCCCCTTTTCTTCTGAACTCTCAGACAGGATTTAAAATGTAGTAATTTTAATGAATGTAGAGAAGAGAGGACTGCAGATAAACAGGTACAACTTATGTAGGAAGATTTGTTTCATCTCTGTGTATCACCTGAGGCCAGTCACTGCACTGGGTATATATGTAAGGGTTCACAACCACTTTAAGTGGACCTCCCCACACCCCTCTTTAGAGGAGTGGCTAATACAAGTTCATACCACTTTTCTTAACCACCTCCCGCCCGTCACAAAGTAATATGATGTACGCAAGGCGGTTCTCTCGTTCCGGGAGGACGTCATATGACATCCTCCCATTCTAACTGCACATGCGTGGGTCCCGGAGCGTGCGGCGATCGGCGGTGCGCTGTGTCCCTCGGGCACAGCGGATCATCGATCCACGGAAAGAGCCAAAGATGTCGGCTTGGTCATGTGATCAGCTGTGTCCAATCACAACTGATCACATGTAAACAGGGAAATGCCAGCTATCGGCATTTCTCTCCTCTTGAGCTGTCACGCTGACTGCTCGAGAGGAGAGGAGAGCCGGTAATCTGCATTCTGCGGAGGGGATATGTACACTGATCATCAGAGCACTGATGATCAGTGTAGCACCAGCAGTGCCACCTATCAGTGTCCGTCAGTGCTCATCAGTGCCACATGCCAGTACCCATCAGTGCTACATCAATGCCACATATCAGTGTCCATCTGAGCTGCCTTTCAGTGTCACCCATCAGTGCCTATCAGTGCCATATATCAGTGTTGCCTTTCAGTGCCCATCAGTGATGCCTGTCAATGCCCATCAGTACACCTATCAGTGCCACCTATCAGTGTCCATCAGTGCAGCCTATCAGTGCTCATCACTGCAGCATCATTAGCGCACATCAGTAAAGGAGAAAAATCACTTATTTACAAAATTGTATAACAAAAACTAAGAAAAAAAAAAATTTCAGTGGTTTTTGGTTTGTTTCAGAAAAAATAAAAAACCCAGAGGTGATTAAATACCACCAAAATAAAGCTCTATCTGTCACAAAAAAATGATAAAAATGTCATATGGGTACAGTGTTGCATGACCGCGCAATTGTCATTCAAAGTGCAACAGCGCTGAAAGCTGGAAATTGGCCTGGGCAGGAAGGGGGTATAAGTGCCCTGTAGGTGAGGGGTTAAAGAACACTCAATCTATCAAACGCAGAGGTGAAACTTCCCCCCCACCCCCTGTGGTTATTAGCTCCCTAGAATCTGACAATACATTTGCTACTTCAATGTTGCTTTGTCCAGATTCAATACCGTTTGCATAATACACCCATGACCTGAGTTGTAAGTGGAGCTGCTATTTCTAGCCGTATTGGATAGATGGGTCCACGTCTGCCTAGTTATCATGCGGTATTGTTAATTGTTTGCCACTTTTGTGTCAAATATGTAACTTGTTTTTTCATTATGACTTTTGGTAGGCCTACAATTCACTTATTATGTACTCTATAGCCTATTTATAGCATTCGTATGCTCTTAAATTACTACTGTGTATTTTATGAGAGACTGCTGTGGTGCACGTAATTGCCACTACGCCTTCTTCCTATGGCCTTTGTTTCTGAAAAAGTCAGCATTTGTTTTTTCCTTGTTTTTGTAAAAAAAAAATTTTCTCAATAAAAACGATATTTAACCACATCCCGTCCGGCTATATATAAACGGCCGGATGGTGGCACTGCAGGGTCGGGTGGCCATTTATAAACGGCCTACCCGCACCCTGCTTGTGCGCACTCCCTGGGAGCGCGCAGCACTGCGATCCGTTGCCCGCTGTGTCCTCCGGACACAGTGGCACACACGAACGTCAGACGGGACCTGTGTGTGAGGGTCCCGATCATGTGATCACTGATTGGCCAATCAGTGATCACATGCAAAGTAGTAAGCAAGATGTCACTTGTGACATCATTGCTTACTATGTGTGAAATCTGTGAATGATCACAGAGGTCACATGGTACAAGGCTATTCACGACAGCCTTGTACCATGTGACAAGCTGTGACCAATCACAGCTCACTCACTAGTTCTCAATGGCTGCAAGAATGCAGACAGAGAGAAAGAGAAATGATTGCTTTTACATCCTTTATGGGTGTAAAAGCAATCAGTGTAAAAAAAAAAAAAAAAAAATCTTCATCCCCCCAACACAAGTAGTACAGTGTCACCATTGGGGTGACAGTATGTAAAAAAAAATAAAATAAAAATGTTTAAAAATTATAATTTTTGGTTATAAACTAATTTGGCTTATTTTTTTTTTTTTTTACTAAAAGAGATAACGGAATACATTTTGGCCAAGATTTAAGATGAAATGTTATTTATTTGCAAACTTTTATAAGAAAAACAAAATTTTTGGACTTTTTCATTTACATAGCAAAAAAAATTAAAATCCCAGCAGTGAATAAATACCACCAAAATAAAGCTTTATCTGTCTCAAAAAAAATGGTAAAAAATTAATATGGGTACAGTGTTGCATGACCCGCGCAATTGTCATTCAAAATGTGATAGCACTGAAAGCTGAAAATTGGCCTGGACAGGAAGGGGGCAAAAGTGTCCGGACAGGAAGTGTTTAAAAAAAAAAAAAAAGTTTTGGTCTGTCATCCAACTTTAAAGTTCAACTTACACTGCAAAAATTAAACTAAAACCGCTTTCGTTTTTCGCAGGTATAACCAGCCTGCTTTGGGGGAAAATTACATTTCAACTTTTTTTTTTTGTCTTTTCTCCTTAAGTGCTGTGCGGTGTGAAGGAAACCGAAGTGGAAGGCCTGGATGAGGTGCTAAGTTTGTTAGAAGTGGGTAATGCTGCTAAACACACAGGGGCCACACAAGTCAATACCCATTCCAGCCGCTCACATACTATATTTACTGTCACCATGGAGCAGAGGAGAGGCGTCGGACGAGTCACCAGAATGACCGATCGGGACAGTGGTGCTGCCCTTGCTTTTGGTCAGGTTCTGTCTTCCAAGTTCCACTTTGTAGATCTGGCAGGATCTGAACGTATATTGAAAACAGGCAACACTGGAGAGCGGCTGAAAGAAAGCATTCAGATTAACACTGGACTTTTAGCACTCGGCAATGTTATCAGCGCTCTGGGTGACCCAAAGCGGAAAAGCAGCCATATTCCCTACAGGGATTCCAAGATAACCAGGTAAGATGATGATACAAGTGTTCTGAAACCCCACATGAATGTCTCCTGCTCCCCCAAGTAAATCTGAACTCTAGGTCTGATATTTGTTGTTTTTTTTGTTTTTTTTTATATTTATTATAATAGTTACATTGATCTAGATTGCATATCTCATACCTGAGCGATCGCTGTGGAAGCTGCAAATCGCTGTGGTAGTCGGTGCTACTACGGTGTTAGCAGTGATCTTCTGGTTTGCCTTCTGTATATAAACCCAGGTGGTGCTCGTTTGGCACTAACAAGGATGGTGTGAACCTCCTGCGCTACTATACAACCAAAAAATAAATAAAACTAAAGAGAGAAGCTGCCAACATTAAATCATATACCCATGATCTAAATAGGAAACAATATCTAGAAAATGTGCCGCTACTCATAAATCCCAAAGACACTAAAGTGAAAAGGTGCCACACTAAATGTACCTTATTAAAAAAACATGCAATAAACCACATGAATCAATAATATATATGATAATCAAGTGGTCATGGTGATCAAATAAAACTTCTAAATATATACCATAACATAAAATAGTGCATAAAATCAGTGTATTGACAATCTTATATTATACAAAAAAATAAAGGTGAATAATTCTCGATGTTATAACCCACACATAAATACGATATAAAAATAATTATAATAATGAAAAAACTGTGATAACACGTGCAAATACCACACTGAAAAAAACAACCATGTAAGTATGATGTGTTAAAAAATAGTCCGATAAGTGGGTGACACCACTACTGCAATTCCAAACACACGTGACCATACAGGGAAGTGACTCCAGGTGCAGAAACTCCAACAAACGGCTAGATTAGCCTCTCGCCTCCAGGCTTCGACCCGTAAGGGTCAAAGTGTTTAGTGGGATCAAACCTTCAGATCCTTTCAGCATACACTGGTGTCCACTGGTCAGCTCTCCCCATACACAGATCTCCTTCTCTAGGGGTTGACAATCAAGCAGTGGATCCTCTTTCCTCAGAGCTTGTGCATCCCATGTGCTGGTGTCCATCCCACATGAATGTCGCCTGCTCCCCCAAGTAACTCTGAACTCTAGGTCTGATATTTGTTGTTTGTTTTTTTTTTTTTTTTTTTAATATTTATTATAATAGTTACATTGATCTAGATTGCATATCTCATACCTGATCGATCGCTGTTGAAGCTGCAAATCGCTGTGGTAGTCGGTGCTACTACGGTGTTAGCAGTGATCTTCTGGTTTGCCTTCTGTATATAAACCCAGGTGGTGCTCGTTTTTGCCATTTTTAATTTTTTTTATTTTTTTCAATGAATACAAGGTAATCTCTGATTGGATGAGATGGAGATTGTCCCCGCCTCTCCACATCATGCAGAATGAAGAGCTGCATGACACAGGACCCGGAAGATTGCTGCTATTGTTCTAGTAGCTCTGACTGCTACAGTTATTTGCAACTTCCACTGCAATTGCTCAGGTATGAAATATGCATCCTTACATTGATCCAAGCTGGACCAATGTAAATATACAATGAAAAGCATAGCTGGAGTTAAGCTTTAAACTCTTTCCGACGCCCTATAGCAGAACTACTGCTACAGGGCGGTAGGGCTGCGCAAAATCACGTGTGTATATATACGTGATTTTGTATTTCCGGGTAGTGGGTGCGTGTGCACCCTATCTGCACCCTGCCCACACCTCTACAGGCAGCAGCAGCTGTGTCAATCACCGGGTCCCTGCCGGAGATTTCCCACTGGCACCAGAGATTTCCCACTGGCACCCAGCGTTCGCCGAGGAACACTGACGGGGGAGAGGTTTAGCAAAGACGTAGCAGAATACATTTTGGCCTAAATTTATAATTAAATTAGGTTTATTTTTTTTTACTGGAGATGTTTTATAGCAAAAATTCAAAAAATATTATTTTATTTTTTGTTGTTAGTGTAAGAAATATAAACCGCACAGGTGATAAAATACCACCGAAAGAAAACTCTATTTGTGGGGAAAGAAAGACTTACATTTAATTTCGGTGCAGCGTTGCATGACCGCTCAATTGTCAGTTAAAGTAACGAAGTGCCGTATCGCAAAAAACAGCCTGGTCAGGAAGGGGGGGGGGGAATCCCCTGGAGGGCATGTAGGTAATTTCTTGTTATATTTTGACAGATTTTGCCTGCTCTGCTGCAATGGGATATCCAATATAATGGCCTGGTCTCCATGGCGGCATGGCACTTTTATGAGCACTGTTAAATCCAGGTTTTTCATAGTGATAATATAAAATATCACTTGTAATTAACCACTTCCAGTCCGGACACTTCTACCCCCTTCCTGTCCAGGCCAGCTTTCAGCGCTATCATACTTTGAATGACAATTGCGCGGCCATGCAACACTGTACCCATATGAATTTTTTAGCATTTTTTTTAGACAGATAAAGCTTTATTTTGGTGGTATTCATTCACCACTGGGATTTTTATTTTTTTGTTCTGTAAATTAAAAAGTCCAAAAGTTTTGAAAAAAAAGTGTTTTTCTTATAAAATTTTGCAAATAAATAGTATTTTCTTCATAAATCTTGGCCAAAATGTATTCCGTTATATTTTTTAACACTGTACTACTTGTGGGGGGTGATGAAGAATTTTTTTTTTTACACTGTTTGCTTTTACACCCATAAAGGATGTAAAAGCAATCATTTCTCCTTCTCTCTGGCTGCATTCTTGCAGCCATTGAGAACTACTGAGTGAGCTGTGATTGGTCAGAGCTTGTCACATGGTACAAGGCTGTCGTGAATAGCCTTGTACCATGTGACCTCTGTGAACATTCACAGATTTCACACGTAGTAAGCAATGATGTCACAAGTGACATCTTGCTTACTACTCTGCATGTGATCACTGATTGGCCAATCAGTGATCACATGATCGGGAACTCGTACAGAGGTCCCGTCCGACGATCGGTGTCCCACTGTGTCCGGAGGACACAACGGGCACCGGATCGCGGTGCTGCGCTCTCCCAGGGAGCGCGCACAAGCAGGATGCGGGTAGGCCGTTTATAAACTGCCACCCTGCACTGCCACCGTCCGGCTGTTTATATACAACGGCCGGACGGGAGGTGGTTAAGAGGGTTTAGACCAAAACTATCTTGCAAATCAATCATGGATATTGTGAAAAATATGCTTGTGTTGTCCATTTTTGTATCTGCTCTTGCTTCCATGGAATGTGTACTTTTTATAATGCAATGAAAAGCTATACGTCCCTCTGTTGAAGTTCTTAACCTTTTTTGCATCATAGACCCCTTTAAAGAAGAACTCCGGGATACCACATAAAAACTGCAATAAGTACACTGACCTATGCAAATCAATAAATGTTTAGTAGTTTATTTCTAGGGCTCATCATTTAGGACAAATTTAGAATTCAATATTTGTGGTGTCATCACTCCTACTGACCACAGATAGCCGAATGACAGCTTCACTGCGGCCGACCAGTTAATGTGACGTCATCCCAGAACGCACCCTCCTGCACGCACCCGGTGATCCCCATAATCGCTGTGTCCTACAGACACAGCTGATCACGTGATGTGGTAGAAGGCCAATCACAGCTGCCTTTTACCACGTGATCAGCCATGTCCAATGGCACAGCAGATCACCGGGAAGTGCAGTTGCCGGTTATCGGCTGCACTTTCCTCACTGCTGTCACTGCATGAGGAAACTACTGCCGATAACCGGCGATTGTCAGAGGACGGATTGGCACCGATCATCAGGGCACTGATGATCAGTGCCACCCACCAGTGCCCAGCAGTGCCGCCAGTCAGTGCTGTCTATTGGTGCCCATCATTGTTGCATATCAGTGCTTCCTATCAGTACCACGTCATCAGTGCTGTCTCATCAATGCACATCAGTGAAGGAGAAAAATTACCTGCTTGTAAAATGTTATAATAGAAACAAAGAAAAAACTTCTTTTTTTGTAATTTTTGCTGTTTTTTGTTTATAGCAGCAAAAAATAAAACACCCAGCGGTGAGTACATACCACCAAAAGAAAGCTCTATGTGTGTGAAAAAAATGATAAAAATTTCATATGGGTACAGTGTTGCATGACCGCGTAATTTTTATTCAAAGTGTGACAGCGCTGAAAGCTGAAAATTGGCTTGGGCTGGAAGGGGGTACAAGTACCCGGTAGGCTAAGTGGTTAAAGAAATAGCATCTTCTCTCGGCAGGAGGAGGAGGTGTATATCCAGGGACACGTCACGTCCTGCTTTACTCTACAGCTATGAGAAACTACATTTCCCATCATGCATAGCTGTAGACTGAGAAGGAAGTGCATGAATGTAGGCAGGTATGTTAGCTGTGTATTTCTTGCACTAAATTGCCCACATAGTGCTTATCTACATTGGGTTGCTGAGAGAGACTCCTGGGTCCGCCCACTTCAGGGAGCAGGGGCGGAACTTCATCCCTGCTCGCCGCAAGAAACTACAGCGGGGCAGAGCCAAGACCGCCAGCTGCGGGAATACAGGGCATAGCAGCCACTGGTCTTACAAAATGGATGTCATAGGCAAGGAAGCCTGTGATTCATATAATGCACCTCCAATATTCTCGGAGAAGATGGACTGGGAGAAAAAAATGAACAAAATCTTTGCTGAAGGTATAAAACCACCAGCACTTGCACAGAAAAAAAGTTTCTGCCTGGAGTTCTTCTTTAAAGCTGTAGAAAACTGCAGGTAAAAAAAAAAAAATCCCCTGCAAGGTAATGTCCTAATGTTCTAGTGTGCATCACATACTAACACATTATGAAGGACTTGCCCTAAAACAAAGCCCTCCAGTGGAGCACTGTCACGGCTGACAGGGCTTCCATTTTCACCTAGGTTTCCTTACGGGTTTGCGAACTCCGGCCATTTGACTAACCGAGCCGCGATGATGTCACTCTCACGCATGCACACAGGAGTCCCTGTAGGTAAAAGTATTAAAGAAGAGTTTACTACCACTTTAAAGGATAAGTTCACCTTTTAGGAGCATGTTACATGTTACACCCATATTTAGGGTGTAGCATGTAATATGCTTCTATGTACCTACCTCCTGCTGCCAGCGCTCCACTCTATTGTGACGGGGCGGGGGTTCCCCTCACACCTGCTTTAACAATCTGAAAACAGCGCAGCAGCATCATTTAATAACGGTTTCCTGTAAATGATTAGACTACAAGTACTGTCGGCCATTGCGGTGGAGGGCTTAAAGTCGTGAGCACTCTCAGTTTATTGATTCTTCCTGCCATTCAGTGACTGCCTGCCCATACGAAAGGTACAGGAACACAGCTTACGGGAATCCTGACATTGCACCCCTGATCTGCTGATCCCGGGTGCAATGCTTTACTGGCTGCAATGTGAAAAAAAATATTAAAATGCAAAAAAGATGTGCATTTGTTTTTTTGTGTGTTGTGTTTTTTTTTTTTTTTTTTTTTACAAAAAGTAAATTTAGCTTTTAAGAATCCGATGGAAGCTTTTGACCACATCCCGAGCAATATTTACATAGACACAACTTTGCATGCAAAGAATATATGTAGTTGATTGAAATTTGATTGCGTCATCCAAATATGACATACATTACGTTTGAATAAAGTAAACAAACTTAACAAAAAACTCACTCCATTTCATGCAAAAAGTAATGGCCGCACATTATAAAAATAAAATACAGTCATCTTGTGCAGATTAAACAAAACAATTTTCATTCTGCTCAAATCTACTACTATTACTAGAAAATGAGAATTTAAAGTGAGTCAAGGACACTTCGGTGTCAGCACTATAAGCAGTGGTAAGGTGTATTTTTTTTAAATGTATTTCAATGAGAAACCATTGATTGGGATACCGGGGAGGATGCATAGTAAATATTCTTCTTAGCTGACCCCCTTGGCCCCTCTGAAACCCATCCATGGATTCCGGGTAAGAAACCTTGCCCTAATGGGTAAAAGAAGGCATAAAATATGTGTAGGTAGTGCCCTTCATACAGAACACAAACCCTTAAGTGGCTTACATCTAACATCTGATATTTTTTTTTGCATACATTTAGTACCTATCATAGAGATACTACATATCAATATATAGCGTCATAATATGTATAGGTAATTTATAGTGTCCTGATATTGCCGGTATATTTCCATCCCTTTTGAGAATGTGTGTTTTTTTGTGATGCGGTGTTTTTTTTTTTTTTTTTGTTTGTTTTTTTTTATGCGGGTGTTTTGTCTTTTTGTTTTTTTTTATTATTATTTTGGTGGGGTTTTTTTTTTTTTTGTTTTATTTTATGTTGGGTTTTTGGTTTTTTTGTGTTTTTTTTTTTTTTTTTTTTTTTTTTGTGCTTAACTTGCTGCTCTGTTTTATAGGATTTTGAAAGATTCCTTAGGAGGAAATGCCAAGACCGTTATGATCTCTTGTATAAGCCCTTCAGCTTCTGACTTTGACGAAACGCTGAATACACTTAACTATGCCAACCGAGCACAAAACATAAAGAACAAAGCAACTATCAATTGCAAGAAAGAAGCCGAGAGAGTGGAAGACCTCCAGCAACAGATAAAGTCCCTGCAACGGGCTCTAGAACAGAGACATCGTTCAGAAACCCGGATCCTCAGTAGGTTTGACCCAGCCAAGTCTGTTCCCCGAAGATCTACAGAAGATCATGTGTCCAGGCTGATGGCTGATTGTGCCCATTACAGGACATGTACAGACACAGGATATCTCCTTCTTATGGACCTTCTATCAGAAGGAGGCCTCTCACCTGCTCAGATGCAAAGAATGAAGAATTGGATGTGTACCGTGGAAGAGGAAAGGAGTGAAGTAACATCGGCGTCTGGTTTGGATAGTGGAATTGAAAGCTCCTCTGTTGAGGAATCCACTGCAGAGCTCACCAGGAAGCAGGCTAAAAGTAAGGTATGGATCAGAGGATTAAAAACAAATTCTATTGCAACCGTAAATTAATTCCTGCTTTAGCACATTTCCCCAGGATAATAGTGTTACCATATGATTACTTTACGCAGCGGTTTTCCACAGAACAACCCCCCCCCCCCCCCTTGCCTGCTCTACTGGCTCCTTCTCTTCAGCGAGTGCCTCCATATGACACTGCTTTCTATGGGCGCACTCATGTGGGCTTGCTCCCGAGCTGCCTCATCTATTGACACGGACAGTGCTTGGCCCCACCCCCCACTCCTTTCGTCACAGAATGTGATCGACAGCAGTGGAAGCCAATGGCTCCCGCTGCTATACAGTGGAGAAAATAAATTTGATTCCCTGCAGATTTTGTAAGCTTGCCCACTTACAAAGAAATAAAGGGTCTTTCATTTTTATCATGGGTGTATTTTAACCGCCTCCCGCCCATCATATAGTAATATGACGGACGCAAGGCGGTTCTCTCGTTCTGGGAGGACGTCATATGACGTCCTCCCACTCTAACCGCGCATGAGCGGCTTCCAGAGCGCGCGGCGATTGGTGGTGCGCTGTGTCCCTCGATCCATGGAAAGAGCCAAAGATGTTGGCTCGGTCATGTGATCAGCTGTGTCCAATCACAGCTGATCGCATGTAAAC